ATCCCTAAAAGAACGAGCGGTAAGGTTTCGTGCCAGTTGCCGTTTTCGTGTGCTCGTAGAGCATTTTAAGTTGGCAGTGAAACCGTTTACTTAACCATTTGGTGCTGGGTGGTAGACGGATATGCTCATGCGTATGCATTCCGTACCAAGCAGCCGGGTCAGCGAGGAGAATAGTTAGTAGGGGAAAATTTCTCGAATAAAGCGTGGAATTCATCGTCACGCGAATAAAAAGTAACAAGGATTCGGTACACATAAATGGGAGTGTATTATATTAATACTATTCTTATCGTTATCCGTCATGTCGCGTATATTATATATTAAAAAATATGAAAATATACGACAGACGTGGATAGATAAATCATAGACTCACCGAATTGGCTTCTTTGGAAGATTTGATCAGAAGTTGAGGCGTGTTCCAAAATACGGGTCACCAATTGTAGCGTGGCATCGAGTTGAGGTTAACTATGTACACCGCTACAAAGAAACACGTGCCAAGTTAATCAGAAGGCGAAGGTTGGACGTAACCAAATAAATCCATAAAATCCCCGAGAAGCCAAATATCAGAAGGCAATTAATGGACCAAGTCGAGGTTTATTAGCTGGCGATCTCGTGGCATCGAAAGGATACCGAGATCGTGCCAGGATACAAGCTTGGTTACAGAAGGTAACCGAATTCGCGCGAAGTTACAATCAAAGTGTGTAAGTAAAAGAATGGAAGCACAAAATAGCTGTCATTACCACAGTCAAACAAAAGCACATTAAAACAAGCACTGGTACAGTTGGTTATAATAATAATTGTTTCTATTAAACCAGTCGTGTTCTCGTGATAAATGTGAGTCACTACACTTGGATGAATTGACGATATATTGCTTCAATATATCATGCATACCTAAATCAAACAAGAAAATTGTATTTGACACAACTGTACTTGATCCGCATACTCTACACAATTTTTTTTGCTTCTTAACCGTATATTCCTTTCCCTTTCGTGGAGTATTCTGATGCACCCTTGGTTACGCACCTAGTTGTAAAACGCGGTCGTCACAGGCTCAAGGTCACGCGTTTGATCGATTTTGTTAAAGAGTCCAACTTCTAGCGAGTTTACTCTTTTACATATATGCATTACAAAAGAGTATTTTTTTGTTTTCATGGTTTTCGTGCACAAGATATCTACACTATGTCTATTCTCTTCCAGAATACCAATCCGTTCTGGAGACCAAGCACTTACATGGAACCGAACAACTATCAATTACATTTATGTATTTCCATTTTGTATCTTATTATTTTATGCAGGCAGTGGAGCAGTTCTTCAGGTTTGCTTGATTTTCACCATTACCTTTGAAGTAGATTCTTCTTTACTTTTTACTTGAGGGCGACTCAAGAGGCAGGTGAGTAAACACTTGATAGCCGGTCTGAGCGCGGAAAAATCGTACTTCACCAACATGGTGTTCGGTAGCCCGCTCGCGGCACTTCCTCAGATATTCTTATTCCACATTCTCAAACTTTCTCTTGAAAGCACGCAGCAAACCATCGGCGGTAGTTGTAAAAGAAATCACATGCTACAAAATGAGATGACAAGCTAGTAAATGAAGAGACATCCATGGACTATCGTTGACAGCGTCAGTCGTCACTGATTGTAAATCAAACAGTGAGCGAGTTGATAATTTTCCCTTGGGATGAGAAATAGAACTAAGGCGTTTTCGATAGTTAGGTTAATCGAACCGACGTTCCTACGGAAGTCGATTCTAGGGGGAAGCTAATGTAACAGCTTAGGTTGATTGGTTAAGCGTTGACCCCAAACAACCAAGCATATGTCAAAACAGTATTGTTCAAGTATTCATTCACTTCCTCATTTTGTATAAGCGTTATATTCCCTATTATCTTATATTGAATGTTGAGAGCCTTTGTTTGTCTGAACAGATAATCCCATGCTCCACTGTCACCGCGCTAAGATCGAAATAAAGACCTATTCACTACTTGTCTGGTTTCTTCTATCAATAGGACGAGGGTTACTTCAAGGCACGAAATACTCAGCAATATGATGAGTTACGCGGATTAAGTAGGGTAAATAATCTTCGTTCTTTTTGAATCTCCTTGAAGTAAATGTTACGAACTTCCTTAGGTCTGTGTAAACGCATCTGTGTGCATCTTCCTTGTATGTACTTTGTATGAAAACAAAGCATTGTTTAGCACCAAAGTTGACTTTGTTTCCTCAAATGTCCTCATTTCCGCGTGTCATAAATAATTTTTTATTCGAATTGAGCTATTATCACTTTCTCAGTCCTTGATTTCGGTTTTGAATCATTTCCACGCCATTTTGTGGCATTCCGCCAACTGTCTTTGTTTTCACACGACTCAATCGTATATTTCAATGGTTGCGTAGCTGAATGATTGTGGTTGACTATCTGTGCTCGAGGGGCGACTTACTTTGTCCTTGAACTTCATAATAATATTCCTCGCTTCCCAGGAGAACGTGTAACAAAATGAATGCTTCTAAAAGTCATGATTTTCCCTGCTTGTTTTATACATAATAACTGTTATTCAAGGCTTCTGTTGCCATATACTAATATTTCTAAGTCTTTTAACTTGAAGTTTTGTTATCCGACTCTGAACAATGCCTTGACAATAAGGTTATTTTCCACTAAACTCAAGGTTAGATAATGGTCAGAGTGGTGAATATTGACCCGTAGTGACATTTGTCATTATTCACGAAACCCTTGAGAATGAACATAATATAACTAAGAAAACGTAAATCGGACGTTCAACACTCGAAGGTCGGAAAAGCCTACCCAGGAATACTAAATAGAATCGGTATGGTTCAGCCATATGTTTGTGATCACTCTACGTAACGTGTTGTTTTTATTTTATACATATTATTCCATTACTACTGTTAATGTATTCAGCAATGTTTATTCAAAGAAATTCCACTAACTCACATGATTTGGTGAGACAGTACAGACAATGACGTGGCTTAGTCGTAAAATATTATAGGTTAGGTAGTCATATTATGCCAAGTCTGTAATGTTGGACTAAGTGTAATATTTCCGTGGCATAGATAATTTCACTAATAGAGCCGTAAACCTAGATCATACAGACCTTTAATTATAACGGTTTATCGAATCCATGCATGAAGATATGTTTTATCACACTTTGTTGGAAATACGTTTACTGACACTCAAGGATCAGACGCTTATTTGCTAACCGCTCGATCTGCTGTTTAGTACTCTATTTTGTACCAGAGAGACCTTTGACTGTATAGCGCAAGCTGATCATTTTGAGGCACTTTGCACTTCAATATAATTTTTACATGAAGTTAGATCCGCCTAAATCAAGGGCAGGGTCTGCGTATTGATATAATTAAAAACGAGTGACTCAAGAAGGATTTGTATGTAACGAAGAAGGAGGTAGTTCGACTTTATCGAATGAACCTTAGTTCGTTAGCTTTTCATTCAGGCCAATAATAATACTTTATTCTCAAATAACAATGTGTTACAAAAAATATGACAGTTTACAGGCAAGATCAATAAGTTGTAAATGCTAGGGGATTTGTTATAATGGATTATTCAGTTAGGTTGAAACGTTGTATTACACAATGATCATAGGAACAGGAGGATAATGTTTCGTAAATTAGAATATGAAAGTTAAGGAGGCCCTAATTTTCAGAATACGTTTTTGAGGATTCTTCGCGACAAGCAAATAGTGATTGAGAAAGCATACAAATGTAGTTCAGAGCTGTTTATAGCAAGAAGCAATGTGATGAATGCATGACAAGGCATTTAAAAACACCAATATTTACGCATTATTTTGTGTTTTTGATTATGTTTCCAAATGAATGTCATAAGTATTAATGAAGGCGCAGAACGAAGGCATACGTTCCATACATATGTTTTGGGGAATACCATCAGGTTGCTGAAAATGAGAGAGAGAAAAGCAGAGCAGACAATGTTCATTTCTGATGGAATAATTAAGAGATGACTGCTTGAGCTTATTTCATCTAGCCCATGTTCTGACGGACATGTGATGAAGTACTAACAGCTTTCTGTCCAAAATTAACGTGTTTACTACTATTTCAACGCAATACAACGAGTTTTGATAAAAATTCATATATATTTCAAGTAAAGCAATAAAAAAGTCGAGAAAATCTCCTTGTGACTAAGTAAACGGTATCAAACTTAACAAACTAACTGGGACACCAGTTGGAATTCTTCCTCCCCGTCGTTATAATTTTTTTCTTCAAGTCAGCTTATTAATTTAGGTGAGATTGGAGACCAACCCATTCGAACATAACAAAGACATATTACTCACTTCCCATGTATTAGATCAGGTAGTCACATCATGAAAAACCTACGATTTTGAGATTATATCTATTATTATAGCAGCAAGGATAAATGTACAAATATCGAATTAGACCATAATGCTACAGATCTACCATTACTCAAGCCAGCTGTGAAAAGCTCTGTAATTACCACAAGGTTATAGTCAGCAGGATGCTTTTTATAGGCCATTTGTAGTGATAAAGTCTAATGAAAAACCCCAGCGAAAGTACAACAACGAGTCAACATTAGCCAGTGAGAATCTTAACACAGGTCAATCAATCTAACAACACTATTCTTGGAAACTGATGTTCAAAATCGTTCTTGCAATATATGAATAAGCTCAAAAAATTTCAGGGAAGCACATTTTATGTTTAAGACTAAAGCCAAAACAAGTGGAGGAAAAATTGTGACGAATGTTGAACAATCACAATAAAAAGCGAATTATCAGTATGGGGGTTGTGGAGATTGTAAGGTTTTTTAATTGAGATCATGAATCAATTGATGTCATTCCAGGTTTCCAACGGTGGTCTAACATCAATTGATTCATGATCTCAATGAAAAAACTGAATTAATGAACATTCAAAATCACAGTTTTTTAGTGAATGTTGTTGAAATTTTTGTCACAATATTTGTGTTTAACTAATCATAGTCTATTTTTTCATCATATGTGGAATCGCAAATTATTTTGTTTTACTGTTTCACGGTTGTTTTCGTTGTAAGTGCTCTTTCAATAGGTCGGTTTCCGCATGAGAATCAAACATAGAATCAAGCATTCACCATTCACTGAATGCAGATATCGTACTGCATACATATCAACCTACGCAGCCTTCGCTTTTTTGCTCATAGCTTTTGTTACTCCATACTGGTTACAATCATGGCCTAGGCTTCATACACCTTTTATCCGCTTAGGATTGTGGGAATTTTGTGTCAATGGTTTTGTGCAACGTCTAGATCCCAATATGATTTCTTACTACGGTTGCTGGTGGATTCTTTCTCCGTATATGCGAAAAATATTCACGGATTTGGTTCCATGTACGTTTAACTTACCTAAGTATTCATCGTGAATCGGATTAATTTTAGTTTGGTTTTTGATCATCCAAGTTATGGTGACAGTATCTCTTTGTCTACAGATAGTAGCAGTGGTCACTCTTATTGCGTACATGTGTAAAAGGATTAGACATGTGGAACGTCAGTCGTTCTTTATCTCGTTAATTACATTCTGTCATTCTTGCTCAAGTAAGTTTGATTCAGATCTTTGGTCTTTTGTGACAGCAAATCATCCAGTATTTTTATGCCTACAAACTAGTTTCTCGCTTCTTTTGTTTTTAGTACTTGAATGAAACGGTCAGTTTTCCCCATTTCTAACATGGTATTATAATTCGACCCAAATAAACATTTTTCAGACTGTCAATGCTCATTCTTTTTCAGCTCAGTTTATTAACGTCTCTCCTTCCTACATATTAGGCGTAATGCCGTTATCTAGTTGAGGTTTCCATATAACTCCCTTTTATACTGTTTCGGTAGACGAACATTCGACGCAAATATGGTCATTCCTATAAAGTTGATTTCTACAGTTGCATACAGGTGGATTATTATGGAAATAGATAGCTGTTCATGATATGAGTTGATTGCAAAGATTCGAAATACTGTTCAGTGCAAAAAAATCATTTTGACCAGCTATTTTTAGCCAAGAAGAGAAACTTTAATAATCTGGTTTTCGTATAAAGTCCGTCATGCTAAGGTTCAGTACTGCATAAATATAATTTCATTTCAGATTTGAACTTTTAGAAAACCGACATTATGTCACTTTAAGTTTGTTATATCTATTAGTCACATTGTCGGTTGCTAATTTTCATCAGTGTATAAAATAATTCTTGAACATATAGTGTCTTTATTCGCCTTGACGCTTAGAACACAGAGCTTTAAACAAATACGGTGCTGAGTTACCTAAATATGTTGGCAAAGTTGGTACTTTCATGTCTATTTTAATCAAATTTAGTGCTGTACTGGCTGTCGAATACACCAAGCATTATAGTTTAAATTCTGATGAGCAAAACTTGTAATTCCTTCTTGATCCATCAATTTGTAAAAAATATACAAGGATTTAACCGTACAACCCTGTTGCTGAAGTTAATAAAAGTAACTATCAACTAACCCATGGCATATTTTAGTGTAGCTATACACTGTAAATAACAATAATTAATATTTCCAAGTTCGAAAAATTAGGCTAAATCCTTTCTTGACAAGCTCGTAGTAGTTGTCATGGTCACAATTAGTTAAAACACATCCTGAAGTTGAATTTCAGACGTCAACCATCTTTATATTGAGATATCTTAGAAAATGGCTCCATCACTGCCAAGTATAGCTGCTTTCAAAGTTTCAGAGAAAATGTACAAGTGTTTCCACATATTTAGCAGAAGAGTAGGACATTAAAAGTTTAAACGCTCTCTTTTAAGACTTTATTTTCTTTGTGGATATTCATTTAATGATAATACACTGGCTTTTATAACTATTCTACAAAGTATACTGGATTAGGATTGTAAAAGTCTAGTTAAATTGTTAGCATAAAATACATTTGTTTTTTATTATCAAAATGTAATGTGTTTGGTTTTATGTATTGATATTTTATAGTTTAGATGTAAAGTGAGGAAGAATTTGTGTGAAGGCCAACTTCAGAGATGTAGTTATCCTAAAAGTCACCAGGATAAGGCAGTAATGTAAAAATTTTGTCAGCGTAACGTAATTCTTAGAAAAGTATAACTCTTCGAATCTTTGTTGTTTCGAGTATGTTTAAAATGGGATCTTTACAGGTGTTGTGGACAAGACTAAAGAATATACTTTTATCAGTTTTATGATCTTTCTCAATAGCATGTTATGCGTAGGATAAATCTCGTTGTCTGTCTAGGCCGTAATACTTGCATTTTTCAACGACTTTTTAATAATGTTGTGTTAAAAATAGGGAAAATTCGTAATGATTCTCATATAAAACTAGACATAGCTTGACTAGACGGGTTAAAAGGCTGTACAACAAATCTGGCAGTCTCATGAATCAACAAAATAAGAAATAGGACTTTTAAGGGAGCTTTTACATCTCAAAAAGATAAAATAAGCGGATGTTGCAATATATTTATGGCATTTCTAAGATGTTTTTATAATGGTTGTAAATATCTGGTACTACTACGTCAACTGATAATGATGTGAGTGAAGTCATACTAATAACGTTTGCTCGGACAACCACAACTAATCATGCTATTATTAATTTGGGTCAGCGTCAACTACGTGAAGTTGGTAAAAACTGATAAAACTATTCTGAATTTGAAAGACTTGACTTCATTGTATGTGTCTTTTGATATTCAACATTATGAGTTCAACCTGATTTCATGTCCTTATCATCAGTTATCTGGAGTTTATTATAAGGATTAATTTATCAAACCTCTAAGCATAAAAGAGTGTATAATCTGTCTCATTGTAATAATTCTCTGATGAATCATCGTAACTGATTTTCTAGTTCAAATAACTGGTTACAAACATTCATCTTAAGGCAAACCTTAAGAAATTAGAAAGTCATGAGTTTTAATAAAATAAATCACTAGTATTTGTTTACCTAAATCAGTGTCATTCTGATCTAAAAATTTGGTCCACCATAAAATATACATCATAAATCATGCGTACAGTTTAAATAAGTATTTTCGTAATCGTTATTCAGTTATACATGAAATGAATCCCTGTTTTACTACTTTACTAACGATGTTAACTTAAACATGATTTTGCTCAACACTATTCTGAATCCCAGAAAAGCCATAAATTTTCTCAATCATAGATATATCAGTTTAACAGCTATAAAACCTAAGTTTTAAATATTTAACTTAACTTTTAACTATTTAACATCAAATAATATTGTGTTGTTTTCATTTTTTATAGCAATTTTAATATTTATATCAGTGGTTATTTTCGGTGTGAATTATCAAACAGAGACTTGGATGCCTTATCCTACATTGAATTGGCCATCTTGGTCATATGGATTTGCAATTCTTTCTGGTTTCTCTTCATTACTTTCAGCTGTTTCATTTGGTCTATTTAATAAAGAATTACGTCGAGATATTCAAACACTAGTATTAGAATTTCCAATGAGCACTAAAATTAAAACACGACGTCGATGGAAATTAATAAAACGTCATTGGCCAGAAGAAGCTTTACCAGTTAAAACAACAGATGAGGCAAAATCAACCTTTCTATCAGGACAAAAGTATCAATCACGTTCTGATTTAGAAGCACCAATAGGATCTATGGAGAGATTTAGTGAAGAATATAGTTTCAGTGAAAGTAGTGGAAATAATTTAGTTCGTGATAATCGAAAAATTAAAAATTATCATGATGGTAATCGACAAGACTCTGAAATTTAAAGAGTATATACTTTATTCATTGTAAAAGAGCGTCTAATTTAATTTCTTTCTAATTTAGTATTTTTTCTAATAAAAATATATCTGTGTTATAACTTGCATCCTGTATGCCCTGTTAATTTATAACGAGATGATATCGTTAACTAGAGAACAGTGAATTATCGATCGGACCAATGACGCATAAAACCCGTACAAGCAGTCTAGACTCTGTATCGGTCCTGCTTCACATCTAGTCCAGCCTGTTAAGTCCACAACACCAATCTCAGCCTCTGCGATATGAAACATGTATTTCAAACATACTGGGTTTATATACCAATCAAATAGACCACATTGTACCATAAAATAGAAATAAAATTTGTACAAGATTTAGCCAAATGTGTCTGTGAATGTGGGAGATAGTAAATGATAGATTGGGCATAACTGAATAATGGTAAATCGTATAATAATAGTCTATAGGTCAAAATGAAGCTTATGGTAGTGGGAACATGAATATACATAGCTTAGTTACTGAATAATTATACGATAAAAATATGCATATAGTATCGGTCCGTAAATGGACCCCAAAATGTACCATTCATTATTCTTATCGGGACATAACAATCTGTATTAAAACCTGATATTCTTTTATTTTGTTAAATCATCAGATACTTGAGAATCTATAAAGATCTAAAATTAGAATTACAGTATTAGGTTAAAAATAATTGCAAAAATGAATTTGGTCGGATAGTTAATGTAGACATTTATCAGTATAGTATTCTCAAAGATTCAAATAAATTCCAAAGGATCAAAGTAACTTACCTTACAAAAGCAAATAAACTTGTAAATGCATAATAATTCAGCTCAAACGTATTTTTGGGAAGATTATATTTAACAACCAAAGTGATCACTTTCTAAAGTCAATAGATATAATAGATATTAGCGAATATTTGTAGCTTAAGATGAGGATGTTGGAAAGTGTTGTTTTCTTTGTGAGTTGAATAATTTAACTGAGACACTTTCATTGTACTTCTCGGTAATATCATGAGGATGTTCTTTGAAGGAGAGGTTACAACCATAGAACTCAGAGAGCATAAAAGAATTGGAAGATTGAATAAAATAGTGAGAATAGGGATCAGATGTATAAGAATATTCTGCAGATAAAATGACTACAAATGAGTGATTACTTATTGTGCAAACATAAATGCCCAGTCAAACTTCTATAAGAGAAAAGAAAGAAAAGGATGGGAGTAAAATCTGTCATCTTAAACCATAAAGTTACAAACTGGCGAAATCATGTTGATATACATTTTGTAAACACATAAGATCTTTCAAGTTACTAATTGATTGCATTGAAAAAACAAACTGTATTTTCTTCTCAAAATCATCTATTAAATTTTCTCTAATTCATCAAAACAAATCAACTGAAAAACCTCATTACTATTTAGGAACCATTTAGATATTGAACAACAGTACATAATGAAAGTGAAAGGTATATTTCGGTCACAATCACTTAACCATAGTTATCTTTATAGCGTTGTTTAGAAATGTAATGGAAACACCAAGTGAGTATCGTCAAGGTTAGACAAAAGTAAGGTACTTGGTGAAGATGACAAATCGGTTGTTAAGACCATTATCTTCGTCCATTGAAATGTCTAGGGTATATGCTACGCATGTAGAGCGATCGCTTACCTCATGCGAAATGATGACAGTCACAAAAATGATTTGGGAGAAATATGTCGGCGAACAAACCAATTTATACCACCAGTCCATTACATAATTGACGTGTTCTGAGTCGTGTAAGTAGGTGCAAAACTTTTGGTTCAGGTCAACAAATTATCTGTAGTTTCCGGTTGGAAACGCTGGTTGGCATGGCCCTAAATCAGTCATTCTGACCCAATTGTCCCTTCTAAATCTTCCGTTGAATGTTATCCGCAAATTCTCACTCCTTGATCTCATTCATTCCTTTCGAACCGCTTCTCTCTTCTTTTCACCACATTAAAGTCCTATCTATCTTCCTGTCTGTGTCAATATGTGGTATATCAACCTGGAAAGGCATCCATTATATATTTTGACTTGATATTTAATAATCCATCAACACATTCTTTAAGATACTAAGCACTAAAAATCTTTTTCAGAAACCCATGTCAAGTAGTAATCCGTGGAACAAAGTGTGAGACTGATCATGCAGCTGATCCTTACGGGAAATTGCTACACTCGGTTTGAAACCAGTCATTGAATTTTCCTGTTGTCAAAATAAATATTGATTCCTTTGAGCATTATTCATTGGTTTTGAACCATTACTGTTACTCATTTCCATCGATTTTTACTTTCTTGCAGAGTATTCCACATTATTTAACACTTATTTATTCTAAAAACCGATATTGCGGATTTCACAGTACCGTTAATCAAAATAATAATTTATATACTATTGTTTAACTACTTAATAGTAGTATGGTCCTTCATCGAAATTTGTTAGTGACGTTCAAAAACCTAACCATATTACCAAACTAAGCTGTAGTTTTTGTGATAATCTCGTTGCATGTCAATCGTTGTAAACTTTATTTTGGTCAGATAAGTACGTTTTATGCAAGAGGCTTAATGAACTGGATCCACGACTTTGAATTCCTGGATGCTAACACACCAAAATATTCAAACCTAAACCGACGTTATGTATGATTGCAACATTTCCTTAAATAAACTATCGGAACAGAAGTATTCAGTAGTAAATAGGTGAAATGTAATGTAAGATTAACAGTTGGAACTTAACCATTGTTTTTTTCAAATACGTTTTAAGATTGATGAAGTGCTGATTATTGGGTGTATTTTGGAGATTATTTGCATTGGAATATATTTGATATTACAGATAGACTTTGTTTAAATAACCGTTTAAAATCAAATAGAATAGGACAACTGATTTTCCCTAGCTTGGGACTTTCAACAATGAATATCCATTACTTTAACAGGATTCAGACCCGAAAACATAGTTTTGTGATGAGTATATTACCTTTAAATCACTGAGTTAGAATGCAATAGTTCATATTTTTAGCTTCTTTCAACTCTCAATGCTACATGACTGTCATAAAGTGTCATTAGTGAGATGACTATCTTATTCTCACAATGTGATAAGACCCCAAATGTCATGACTTTGAGAAATGATACTGAAGTTCCGCTGAGAAGTTAATCACTACACAGAATACGATTATCAGTTAGTTGGATGAATTATAGAGATTATTTTAATGTAAAAATAGTTTTTTTTTTAGTGTGTTCCGGTCTTCCATAGTTCCCCATATAACAAGAGTTCCAGATAACTCTCTAAAAAATGCTAATTTTGTAATCAAATATACTGAATTAAGGGTAATCTTGATATTTTAAAATAACGTTTGAACAGTAGCCAAATTTTACTGCTCATCATCCGTAGTGTCTTGGTATATACGTCATAATATTGAAGCCATTTACAAGCTCATTGTTTTCTTGTTTACATAGCTCATATTTACCCTAGTTACTGTTTAAAATTAACACTTGTTAATTGGATGTCGAATATGTCCAACTCTTGTCATCACTTTAATATTAATCGCTGTATACTAACGTCCTTGTAATTTTTACACACCTAAATGACTTCACTTCCCCTTTTTCACATAATGATCCATGGACATAATACTTAAGCTTCATATTTATTCATTTATTCATATCTATTAATTGATTTGTGATTATCATCAGAAAGGGGTTTTGTAGATATTATAGTAATTTTATTAGTTAAGATCATGAGTCAACTGGAGCTAGACCACCATGGAAAACCTGAAAGCACTAGACGGCCGTTTCATCCTAGTGTAGAACTCGTCAGCAATACGCATCCACGATTCCGCCCCACAGGATTCGAACCTAGGACCTATTGGTCTCACACACAAACGCCAAAACTTTAGACTTAATTTGTGATTGGTTGATCTGAATTTCTATATAGAAAATGATAAAAGTAATCATGATAATGATCCAGTTCATTATAAGATGATTATCAAAACTTTTAAATTATTTATGTAATTTACCTTTGAAATATTTCAAACTCATTTTATAGTTGTTATCAGTTGTGTTAGGATAGTCGGAAAAATAGACCAATAATTATCATGTTAAGTCCAATGGTGTCCTTGGACTTTAAATGGACATTTCCTATTGGTCGATAGCTGTTCACTTGTTGAATATTGTACAAAATGTTGTTCTCTATTTTATGGTACGATGTGGTGTGCTTGATTGGTATATAAACAAAGTATGTTTGAAATATAATGATTCATAACTCAGAGGCTGTGACTTGCGTTCTTGACTCAACTGGCTGGGACAGACAGCGAAGCAGGGCCAATCAGGGCACTAGGTCGTCCGTACGTGTTTTCCGTGTTACTGTGATCGATCGATATAAACGCTGCTTATCAAAACCTGCAAGTCACACGTTACAACATGTTGAACACATAGTGATATGTTTAGATGTAAGTAAGAAGGTAGAAATTTTATTGCGAACTGATTTATTTCTACAGTCAATCGTCGGATTCATTTACATTGAACACGGCAGTACTTAGTACTCATCAATCAATAACTTGATGAATGTATACAATTCACAATATCATTAGATCAATCTACTTCACTCAACTAATATAATTAAATTATTGAGTAATATATTCACTTCCTTTTAATACTACCTGAAGAAATAAGTTAGATAGAATAGTTTCAACTGAAAGTTGCCATTTCATGATTCTAATCCTACTTACATTTATTGTACCCATTTTTAATGTAGTCTTTTGAAGAAGTTATTCTCTGTTACCTAGACATGATTTAAATAAGTGTTCATTCATTTTATTTATTTGAGTTCTAAGATTTCGTGATATTATTTCACCTGGTCTTAATACTATTGAATGTACTCAAGATTTATTTATATTTTTCTATCTTCTAAACTGTACATTGAATGGAACTTGACACTTGTGTTTTATGTAATCTGCGATCTGTATGCCCCATTAATGTATAATGGGATGATACCGCCAACTAGAGAACAGTGAATTATCGATCGGACCAATGACGTATAAAACCGTACAAGCAGTCTAGACTCTGTATCGATCCTGCTTCACATCTAGTCCAGCCTGTT